CCCCCAACATTATCCCCAGCGAGTGCTCATCCAATCTGTGCTTGGAGCCTGCCCAGTGAGGGGGAGCTCACTACCTCTCAAGGCAGCCCATTCAGATTCAGCTTTAGGACGCTTCTCATCATTAGGAGCTGGCATCTTCCCCTTTGCAGCCTGAGTGATCCTGGTTCTGCTCTCTGGTATCAAAGAGAACAAGGCTAATCCCTCTCTCCCGTGATGGTCATTCAGATGCTTGAACCCAGTTCTGCGCCTCCTGAGACTCTCTTTTCTAGGCTAAGTATCCCCAGGTCCTCCAAGTGATTCTCCAGTGACATGGATTGGGGTCCTTCTCCAAGCTGGCTGCCCTACTCTGGACACTGTCCAGCTTAGCGATGCCCTTGTTACACTGTAGTGCCTAGAAATGCACAGGGTCCTTCCATTGGAATCTGATTGGGTGAGAGAGTAGAATGTCTTCATTTCTGTAGGCCCAAGATTGCATGAGCTTTCTTGGCTCTCACATCACATTGCTCAGTCGGATTGAGCTTGCTTTGCTTCAACTCAGACTTTCCCCCAACTAAAATGGTGTCTTTTACCTGTTAACCTGTCCCCCCCTCAACTATGAGATTTTGTACTTATGTCTATGAAATTCTTTCTCTTGACCTTGGTTCAATGTTCTAGACTCGTGACATCATTTGGTCTAGCACCTAGTGGGTTCCTTCTTCTCCCAGTTTTGTATCTTGCTCATTCTCGATGAATGTCTCCACCATTAGCCAAAGCAGGGACCCCTGGGGCACTGGACCGAAGCCCACTTTCCAAATTGATATCAAAGTGTTTTTAGCTATTCTAGGTATCTGGTTATTCATCCAGTGTCAAACCTGCTTATATTGCTGTTTATTCTGCATCTCTTTATCTTGGCCAGAAGATTAGAGGGACTTTGTCAAATGTTTTTCTAAGATGAATAGGCCAATTAAGAAGCATGTATTAGGCATGCTTTGTGCCTGGCTCTATGCTAAGCACTGGGGATACAAAGAAATGAGGGAATCAGTGCCTATGGGGAAGGAGCTCACACTCCAGGGTGAAATACAACATATCCATAAGTTAATAAATACAAGATAAATTAATAGATTTGGTGGCTGTCTGGAGGATAGGTTAGAGCAGAGAGTGAGAGCTGGACTTCTATTCTGACTTGTACATCCTTCTCCTTGTACTGAGGGAGGCATGGGCATTCTGCATTGACCTATCATGTGCTTGGGAGCAGCTTTTTCCCACTGGCTTTGGAGCCAGAACTCTTGGTGATGTTAAGCTGTCCTGACTCATCCATCCTGGGTGCTTTTATCATATTAGTGTTTAAGGGTGAAGGATTCTTTCACTGACACCATGCAGGAGAAGGTCACATTCTGTGCCCCCAACCCAAGGATATGTGGTTCCAAGAAAAGCACCTGAGTCAGGGAGTGGTGTCCTTGATCTGACCCAGCAGCTAAGTCATAGGAATCTGGGATTCTGGGAATCCAGATGGGATTTAGCCAGCTCAGCTTCAATGCCATGAGAGCTTGGGTTCAGGGAAGCTAGACTGCTGGAAGTCAGGACCATGCTGGTTTGGTACTTTCACATAGTGGGACTAAAGCCATGTAGGTACTGAACTAGACTTTGAACCCAATATCTCATCACCCCTCTCCTCCCACCAGGGCCTTGTGCAAATGTCTGTGTGTTTGTTTCTAGATATCGCTTTAAAGCAAATATCTCTTTGTAAAAACAAATGTGAAGTGAAATGGAAGTGGGGTGCTAATCACTAGGCCCCTGAAATGGGGGCTGACAGTCAGGGGCAGAGGAAAGTGACCCTGCAGCCTCTTCAGGGCAGAGCAGAATCCTGAGAGGGCCTGGCCCTGAGAGCAGGGTCAGAGTTCCCCATGTTCCCCCCTGCCCTGCCTCTTTAGTCATCCTGCCCCCCAAAGGACAGCAGGTTTGTCTGCCATGGTCTTTGGGGGAAGCCACATTGGCTCTTTGTGATCCAGTTTCCTTTTCTGGTTATTCAGTGACCACACCCTTTACAATAGGTTATGGAATTTCCCCAGGAATTGTAGTTAAGCTTACTGCTCTATTGTGTGCAGACTCCATTCTTCTCTTTTTCTTACTCCCTCTCTTTCTCCCCATCCTGCCTTCAATCTCTTCTCTCTTCCCTTCCCTTCCCTTCCCTTCCCTTCCCTTCCCTTCCTTCCTTCCCTCCTTCCCTTCCCTTCCTCCTTCCTCTTCTTCTCCCTTCCTTCCCTTCCCTTCCTTCCCTTCCTTCCCTTCCCTCCTCCTTCCTTCCCTCCCCTTCCCTCCCTCCCCTTCCCTTCCCTCCTTCCTCCTCCCCTCCCTCCCCTCCCCTCCCTCCCTCCTCTCCCCTCCCCTCCCCTCCCCTCCCCTCTCCCCTCCCTCCCTCCTCCCCTCCCCTCCTCTCTTCTTCCCCTCCCCCCTCTCCTTCTTCTTTTTCTCCTCTCCCTGCTCTACTCTCCAATATGATGTTTAGGTAGGTACCTACAAGATTCAAACAGAGGAGATGGACAGTAACCATGGAAGGAAGAAGGTTCTAGGACACTGACAGCACCATCAAAGGTTAGCAGCAGAGTGAAGGTGGCCTTCCACACTAAGTCTTGAAGGAGCCAGGGATTCTCAGAGTTGACAGCGAGAAAGGAGAGTAACCCAGGCAGTGGAGAGGGTTATGCAAAAGTGCAGAGATGGGAGATGTAGTGATGGGTCAGAGGTACCCTGAGCTGACTAGGTTAACTGGTTCATGCAGTGGGTGGAGAAGGAAAGGATATCAGGAAACAAGTATTTATTAAGTGCCTACTGTGTGGCAGACACTGTATTCAGTGCTTGACAATGTCCTCATAATTGGCCTATTCATCTTAGAAAAACATTTGACAAAGTCCCTCTAATCTTCTGGCCAAGATAAAGAGATGCAGAATAAACAGCAATATAAGCGGGTTTGACACTGGGTGAATAACCAGATACCTAGAAAGTGCTATCATGATCCCCATTTGACTGATGAGGAAACAGACAGGTTGTGACTTGGCCAGGGTCACACAGTTAGTAAGTGCTTGAGGCCAGATTTGAACTCAAGTCTTCCTGGCTCTAGGCCTGGTGATCTCTCCACTTAGCTGGGGAAGAGTAATATAGGAGACTGGGAAGGTAGGAGGAGGTTAGGGTAGGCTCTACAATGTTCAGTGTTTTGACGCGACCAGTATATGTTGTTCCCTGCAAATGGTGATCTCTGGAGGACATCACCAGCTATGGGGGCTCCTCTTTCCATATGGACTCTGCAGTGGACACTCTCCTCCATGTCCTCTGGTGAGCACATGGTTCACTGTTTCAGGCAGTGCTCCAAAATGATCAGGTTATCTCTGCTGCCATATCTCTCAAGGAGCCTGGGATGATTTTAGCGAATTCATGTTGCATTGGGCACCTCCTCGACTCACAGGACACAGGGCCCATTCCCCCAGGTAACAGCTACTTCCGGTTCAAGCACTGTGTGAGTCCGTCTCCCTCCATGGCTCACGAGCCCCACCACAGTGTTTGTTTGACTAATTGCCAGATGACACAACTCCTTCAATACTGAGGTATTTTAATGAAATGGAATAGTAAGACCAGTATCAACTGAAGAAATGGGCCACAAACCTGGGGAGAACTCAACCCAGTGGGAAGAGCAGATGTCCTTAGGAGTGTTATCTGGGTACATCTGTGGAGGAGAGCTCATGGAGGACATGTGTGTGACTGGAGCACGTGCACAGGAAGAGCATAGGTACGGGGAGCACATGTGGCCAGGACAGACACTGTGGCACTGGCAACGTGGCCTATGAATGCCATCAAACCATGCCTGTACACGGCAGCCACCTGGCCAGGTGTCCATGGCACCAGAACCACTGCCTCTTATTCATGCTGTCGTGTGGCTCTGTGCCCTGGGGAGTTATGGCACATCAGAAGGCCTGATAGAAGGAGGCCAATGTAGCCTCACGAGGATTATGGATACCTTGATGGACGAAGTCCATGCCCACACCCTGTCTTTGGATAGAAGCTTTATCTGAAAGAAATCAGATCAGGATGAGGGTATGTGGGCAGTTAGTGCCGCATACTGAGATGTGCTCATGTGAGGAAATCTGGGAGCCAGAAAGGGGGCATGGTGGTGAGTGTTTGATGAAGGTCAAGGGAGGAAAAAGCAGAAGGGAGTTTCATGTGATGTCTTGCCCATTGCCAAGTGAGTGGCCATGCTCCCAGTCAGCCAGTCCACAGCCTAGTCAATCTTGGCCTCCTGCTCAGTGTCACTCTCCCGCCTGTTCAGCTCCCTCCAGATTTGTCCTCTACCTTCACACCTTCCCTCACATAGGCCTGTTGTTATCCACTCACACTTTAATGCCCTGGGTCACTCCCTCAGCAGCCCAGGTCTGGCTCATGGCAGTTGCCTTCTCACAGGTCCCTCCACCTCCAATCTGGTCCTCTGGCAATCTGTCCTCCACACAGCTTGGATTTCTGTATGTCATTAGGGTTTGCAAAGGCACTTTCCATTTGCTATATCATTTAATCTTCACGATAGCCCTGGGAGGTAGGTGCTATTAATAAGAAAAACTAATAATAACAGCTAGCTTTTATATAACAGGTTAAGTTTTGCGAAGTGCCTCATGGGTATCATCTAAGTGTTTACTGCCAACAATTAGGGGAGGCGGATGTTGTCATTGTCTCCATTTTTCAGACAAGGAAAGTGAGGCTGAAGGAGAAACAGTGAGCTGCTCACTTCAGGTCACATCTAGGAGGCCTCTGAGGCTAGGTGTGAGCTTGGGTCACCCTGACTGCAGGCTTAGTGCTCAATCCACTGACCCCGTATTTCCTCCACCCCAGAGAATCATGTATTTGAACAAAATCAGTTTCAGGTTCTACTTGTCTCACTTTTTGATATGAAGGTTGTCAGGGACCCCATACTGTGAGCTGCCCTCAAGGGAGGGGAGATCAGACACAGAAGACTGGAGATGCAATTGAATGATAAAGGACAAGATGTTTATTGAAAGCAAGGAGAGGGGAGCATGAGCTGGGGAAGCCCATGTGTGGGGAGAGAGGGAGGGGTGCAGGAGAGATGTGGGCATCTAAGTGCACTGGCTCTGAGAGAGCTCCTTCTGGATGACCTTGCCATCGTGGGTGACCTTGCAGGTGAAGGTGTTGGCTGACAGCCACTGGTCAGCAGAGACTGAGAGGTAACTGCTGGCTGAGTACTTGTCGCTCTGGCGGGATGGCTGGGAGTGGTCTCCACACCCTGGGACACGGGGGAACCATCTTTGGTCCAGGCCACCTCCACTGTTCTTGGGTAGAAGCCACTCATGAGACACACGAGGGTGGCCTTATTGGTGGCTAGCTCATCTTGGGATGGAGCAAAGACATGGATGGTGGGGGTCACCTTGGGCTGACCTGGCAGTGTGGCAGACATTGGCGAAGAAATCAGTCTTACACGGGGTGGAGGCACATTAACATTCCTACTTACAACCCCATTCAATGCTTCTTTTCCTGCTGATAGTTTTTTTTCATTTCTAATCCTTCCTGACCCCATGGAACCTGGGACTTCTCAGATGTGCACCCTCTTCCCTTACTTTCACACCCTCTCTCTCTTCTTCTCTTCATCCTGATTGCTTTCCAATGCTCTGTTGTCTGATGTTGGGGAGACTCTCTGGAGGAGACAATGAATCAAATAAAGGTTTTGGGGAGCACAGATGACACCATGATTCCAAGATTCCCTCCCTTCCTCATGTACAGGTCTTTCTGACATGCTAAGATTCTGTCTTTCCTCTCTCTGAGTCTTACCCTGGCCAGCCAGGACTCCCACTCTCCATGGTCCCCTGGCTAGCCCCTGGACAACCAGGATGCTTCATTTCGACCAGTCCTCACACTTCATGAGGCTTCTCTAGAAACCAGGCAACTCTTCTGCCTGACCATATTCTACCATTTCCACTGCCTTTTCCTCATGCCTGAGCTCAAGAGAGCCTCAGTACATCTCTCCAAAGCATATTTCCCCACTCTCAGTTCCTGTACTTTTCTGGTAGTGTCTGTGGAGTCTGGTATGACCTTTGGATCGACCTCAATTGTGCAATGAGCTTTCCCTCTCAATCTCTTCATAGGACCACAGATGTAGAGCTACAAAGGGCCTGTAATATCACTGAGTTGCACCACTTTATTTTATAGATGAGGTAACTACTGTCTGGAGAGATTAATTAACTTGCCCACATTCACTGAACCAAAGTATCAAAGGCAGATGCACAAATGGAGAGACATCGCCACTCCCCATGTTCGTATGGCGTATTTGTGCCAACCTGTGGTCGAGCCTTCCTAGTTCTTACTGGTCTGAGCAGACACGGTCAGACACACTGTACCTTGACCCCGACATAGTGATGCCACTTGTGTCCTCCTTCCAACCCCCCAATGAACCACAGGCAGAATTCCTAACTCAGTCTTCCTCATTCCAAGTCCAGAGCTGTAGTAACTCCCCTCCATTGCCTCTTTCTGCCTCTACCCCACTGTCGTTTTTGTCAAGCCTGACTTGGTCTCCATTGTCTGTCCATCACCTCTCCCATTTCCCTTAGGAGGCCAAGACCAGAGTCCAGAGAGCTGCTGGTGAGGGAGCCAATGCTTTTACTTCTGCTGCCCATGGTCTGTCACTGCCTCCTGCCCAAATCCCCCAGGTAGTCCTCACTTGGGCTTCCCACCCAGGCTGCCCAGCATTCCAGGCTCCAGCATCCGCCACTTGTGTGTCCTCTGGTTCCTCACTGGCACCCTGAAGACCCCAGCTGGAATGTAAGCTGCGCCTACCCAACAAACCATAGACTTTGGGACCAAGCCTCTGCTTGCCCTCACTTTGTCCCCACATCTGAGGGAGCCCCAGTTCTCCTCATGGCTTCCTAGTATAAAGGGACTGACTTCAGAGAGGGGAAGGAATGCTATTTGTCTGATTCCTCTGCTGAGTTCTGTCCTGCCTTACCCCACAATCTTCTCCCTTGTCTCCAATGTGGGGACAGTGGTTTTCTTAGAGTGTGTCCTGGGGATTAAGTCCCTTCCTTGCTGGGTCATCATCCCCTCCATGGGCTGCTGTAGGTGGGACCACATTGGTCCCCACCCCCAGCCTCCTGACCCTAGGGAGACCCTCAGTTAAGTGGGTGATACCCAGTGAGAAAGAGTGTTATTTCCCATCAAGACCCTGGACAGAAAGGAGGGACAGGGAGAACAAAAGTTACTTACTGAGGATGGTTAGGCTGGTCCCACTGCCAAAGACATGCTGCTGTGATTCAGAGCCTGGCGAAAACTCTTTCTGCCCGCAGGTGTGTCTTGGCCCCCTTCGGCCTTGTTGGTCTGGAAACCTGACAGACATGACAGGAGGGCATGACTGAGAGCTGTCTGTGAGGGGGTTGCAGGTGGGGTCCATTGCTGGAGGTAGGGGTAATTCCCAGTCACCTCTCCTGCCTCCAAGGCTGGGCTCCCCTCGGGTTGTGCTCAGGGCCATTGGAGACAGTTCCTACTTGATGAGATCCTTCTTTCAAAGCTTTTCCTCCCTCCTCCCAAGCAGGCTGATCTCATAGGTGGCCCTCAAAAGCACCCCTGTCCAAGGCATTTTTCCCACTGAGCCTCTATTCCCTTTCTTCTCTCTGTTTATCTATGTTGCACTGGTCCTTCAAGACCCAGATCACATTCCTGAAGCCTTCCCAGGCCTGCTTAGCTCCCTTCTCTGGGAGGTGGCAAAGTGTTCTCTTCAGATTTCTGGTTGTTAGGCGGCTAGCTAATCCTCTGTGGTGAAGATAACACAGAGAGCCTCCCAACTAACTGGTCCCCTGTCTCCATCCTTGATCTTTTCACAGCTGCTCTCATAGTCTTCAGAGATTCCCTGGAGTCCTGAAATCTCAGTCAGGGCTGACTGAGAGATTCCTCAAAGACCATCCAGCCCACCCCATTCCTGAATGAGAAGCACTTCTCCAGCATTATCCAGCCAATGGTCCTCCAGTCTATGCTTGGAGACTGCCCAGTGAGGGGGAGCTCACTACCTCTCAAGGCAGCCCATTTAGCTTTAGGACAGTTCTCATGATTAGGAGCTGGCATCTTTCCCTTTACAGCCTTGTCCCTGTTCCTCCTGGCTGTGTCCTCTGTGACCAACCAGATGAGGCTCATCTCTCTTCCACATTCTATCCCTTCAGATCTCAGAAGCTCAGACACACAGAATCTCTGAGCTGGGAGGGGTTTGGGGACATCTGATGTCACTTCCCAATTTTCCTTGAGGATTCCTGATGATGCTATTCGTCTACTCAAGAGTCTTAAAGGGGTCTCCATTTTTTATTGAATGCTTTCTTTATATCAAATCATTTAGCTCATACATCACACATCATATACTATGTCTCCTAGATTATCATCCATAATTAATGTACTCTCACGGCTTTAGAACTGAATGAATTCTGATCCTCGCATCCCTCCCACCTTTGTAGGCTTATCTCTCTCTACTCCCCTTTAAGGCCTGATGTTCTCAACATGCTGCAGCTCTCCCTTTCATCATAGTTACTTGTGACCGTACCATTAACCTCTATAAAATTGTAAGCTCCTCCAGAGCAGGGCCTGTACCTTAGCTGTCCATGTCCTTGGACTTTATAACGTTGTTAATCAGTCAGTAAGGATGCATTTATTAAGCCCCTGCTATGTGCTAAGCTTTTTATAATTATTATCTCATTTGATCTTTACAAGAATCCTGGGAAGTTGGTTCTATTATTATCCCCATTGTACAGATAAGGAAACTGAGGCAAACAAAGGTGAAGTGACATGGCCACAGTTGCACAGTTAGTAAGCGTCTGAGGCTGAATTTGAACTCAGACCTTCCTGACTCTAGGCTCTGACTCTATCCATTGTTCCACCTTAGACAGCACTCTTGGAATTAGGAAGACCTGGGTTCGAATCCTGCCCTTGACACCTACTATTGTGTGACCTCTGTAAGCCTCAGTTTCCTCCTCTGTCAAATGGGGACAAACAATAGCTGTTTGCCACTCCGTCTATTGGAGGGGCTCAAGTGAGAGTGGGGATAGCACTTTGCAGACTTCAGAGATCTTTTTAAGGGTGAGCTCCTATGAAGAAATGTTTATGGGATTGAATTGATGAATATTTGATGTATCACGTTAGAAGTGGAAGGGACCTTCTCCTGGAGTCGTCTAGTTCCACCTCTTCGTCTAGCTGAGGAAACAGAGAAGTCAGGTAATTTGCCTAAGGTCACACAGGAAGTAAGAGGTAGAAGCAGGACTTGAACCCAGGTCCTGTGACTCCCAAAGCAGTGCTCTTTTCATTGCCCCATCCTGCTTCTGGTAGAGTCACACCCGATAACAACTGGAAGGGACCTTAGCTGCTCCTAAGGCCAACTCTCCCAGTTCACAAAGGGGGAAATTGAGGCCCAGAGAGAGAAGGAGCACATGGCTTTTGGCAGCAAGACCTGTCATGTCTGGTAATCTTTTGTGGTGAGTGTAGCCTGTGTCCCTGTCCTCATGGGTGGAGCCATGATCCCTCAGGGTCTCACCCAGAGGCTAAAATATGAAGGAAGAGGTCTTTCCTGGTCCTTGGGGGGAACAGAGAAGATGAGAGGGGCCCTCACCTTGAGCTCTATCTTAGGCTTCAGGGTTTCTCATCTGCTGGGAGACAGGGCCCAAGTCTTCTCTGGAATCTTCTTCCTGGAGCCAGCTGAATCCTTCCCCGGGAGTCTGGACCATAGGGCAAAGTGTCTAGGAGCTGAATCCATGAATGGTCTGCTTCTGACATCTGCATCTAGCAGGCTAGTGGTGGCCCAGGGCTTTTGTAGGGATAGGGGGTCCTGAATAGAGTCCTCAGGGATATGAGGGAGAAGAAGGGATTTGGAGTAGTTTTAGGAATTTACTGTATGTTGCTTTGTGTTCTGGGCCTGGAGTCAGGAAGACTTGATTTCAAATCTGACCTCAGACTCTAACAGTGTGACTCTAGGCAAGGTTACTTAACCTCTGTTTTTCTCAGTTTCCCCAACTGTAAAATGGAGATATTAATACCCCTTCCTCCTAGGGTTGTTGTGAGGATCAAATGAGATAATAATTGTAAGCACTTAGCACAGTGCCTGGCACATAGTAGGTGCTTAGCATGTTAGCTATTATTATTAGTATTATTACCTGTAAAGGTTAATATGCCTCCCCTCCAATGGTGTCTCCTCTCCCATCCCTCTCATATGCACATGTTTCTTCCAATAGAATGTAAACTCCTTGAGATCAGGAATGACTTCATTTTTGCCTTTGTCACCCCAACGCCTGGCACACAGTAGGTACTTTATAAAGGCTTTTTTTGATTGAGTGATCTTTTTTCTTTTACTCTCCTTTATAACATGTGTAAAGTGCCCTGCAAACTTTAAAACATGATATAAATTCCAGGTATTATTAGTTATTCTTTTTTTCTCTTTCTCTTAGAATCATTGAATCTCAGTTATAAGGGACCTTAGAAGCCGCTTAGACCAATCTTAACCTGAATAAATATTCTGTCTAAACAATCAATCAACAAACATCTCTAAAGCACTTACTATGAGCCAAGTGCTGAGGACAAAAAGAAAAAACCAGATGTGAAACTGCCCCTGCCTTCAAGCTGCTTACATGCTATAAGGAGACACAACATGTATAGCATCCCTGACAAGTGGCCATTCACTATCTGCTGAAAGACTTCCTGTGATGGGGAGCTCACTACCTCCTGGGAGATCGCACTCTGCTTTTGAACAGCTTTGATTATTGGGGCATTTTTAGCGGCGTGCTGACATTTGTACAATCTCTTCCCTACTGCTCCTAGTCTTGGCCTTTGGAGTCATGCAGAACAAACCTAGTCTTTCTGCTGTATAGAAGCCTTTCAGCTGTTCAAAGACAGCAATCACTGCTCCTCCCTTTCTACTCCCCCTTCTCCAGAAGAAACAACTTCATTTCTTAAATAACAACAGCAACAATAATAAAAACAGTTACAGCACCTTTAAAAACTGTACTTTATGGTTTACAAAACTCTCTCATGAGATAATTAGGGCACACATCCCCATTTTACAGATGAGGAAATGAAGGCTCAGGGAGATTATAATCACAGTTCCTAAGCATTGGTGGGGAGGGAATTCGAGCCCTACTCTCTGCTCTCCAAGACCAGTACTATGGCTAATACATCTTTCCCCATCCTAATTGCTCTCTTCTGGAGTTTTTCTAGTGTGTCAAGATTCTTCTTCAATTGTAGTGCCCAGAACCGATCACTTTACTCCATAGGTGTTTGACAAAGGCAGAGGACAGATGGGGCTGTTCCCTCTTTTGCTGTGGCCACCATGCCTGTCCCAAAGCAACCCCACATCTTTTCTCATTTTTGCTCTGTCCTTATTCTCCCCTTCTCTCTCTGGATGTTTCCCTCTTTCTCCCTGCCTCTCCTAGTTTCTTTTGTCTTCTCTCTCCTTTTCCATTCTCCTCTCTCCCACACCTGGTTTCTCTTTTTATTGCTTTCCTCACTACTATCTCCCTTTCCCTTCGCTTTTCTCTCCCCAACTCTCTTTGTTTCTTTCTTTCCTTGTTTCTTGTAACAGAAAGCCTCCCACCCACTCCACCCACATTCAAGTTGTATTTTCTTCATCCCATTTCTTCCCCTCCCGATTGTTCTTACCAACTCCCTTTCCAACTGTCTTTCAATGACATAGAATAATCTGTCTATCTCTCTCCCTCTCCCCCACCATGTCTATTTTTCCCCAACCACATTTTTCTCTGTCTTGGTCCTAGACTTCTCTTGACAGCCACACACATACTGTCCTTTCTGTATGTCTTAGGCTTTCCCTTGGTTTTTATCCATCATACTCCATTTCTTCCCATATCCTAATATGCCTCTCCCTGTTGCCCATAGCAGATCAAAGTCATAGGCTTCCATACCTCCCTGGCAATTTCTTACCTGAGCTCCTTGCTTCCAAGGTCAGGGCTGGTCTTTTGCTGGCTGTCTCCTGCTCTGGGGGTCCAGGGCTCCCCAGCCTGGGAGCCTCTTAGCCCTAAACTCTCCTTCCCGGGGAGAGCCCATCTTTCCTTCTCAGGGGACAGACAGAGGGAAGATGGGGCCAGGGTTAGTAGAAATAGCAGGGTGCTGGGGCCAATGCTCAAGGCTGGCCTGGTAGGGGCCCATGCCTGGGTACTGGGATGGGGCATCTACACTCAGATCCTAGAGCTGCCTTCAGCTGGGCTCAGACACGAGTGCTGTCTCCTGAAGGCTCCCTGGAGATGTTGACCTACTTACTCTCTCTGGTAATTCTTCACACGGCCCAGGCTGCCTTCCTTCTGTTCAGGAGCCTCGTCCATACTGGGCTCTCAGCAGCTGCTTTCTATGATGCTTGTTCCACATTTCTGGGTGGCTTACTGCTGCTGACATCCCTGCCACCCCAGGGAAAGGTCCCCAACGGCTCTTCTGCGGTCAGATCTGGGGCTCAACGGACTCCGCTGGGTTGTTCTGGCTCCGTGTCTCCCACAGGATGGGGATGGAGAGGACACACCTGGGGCCTGTGGGGTGCTGGATCCGTTGGCTCGAGCAGGAAGGGGACACTTGAGTGAGCTCCCAATGGGAGTTCCCTGGAGACAGTTGCCAGAGGCAGAGGAGAGCCCATGGGAGCTGGTCAACATACAGCCAGGCTAAGGAGCTCTCCATAGTACTGAGCTCTTGCCTAGGTGACCGACTGCTCCACTGATTTCAGGAGAAAGACACTCCACCCCTTGTCTCCCCTCCCAGGCCTCTCTACTTCCTGAGGCCTGAACCTTTTTTTTCATTTGTTTTTAGGTCGGGGAGGGGAGCAGAGACTCTCTTCCCATGTTGACCACTAAGGTGGAGGAAAAAAAAAATCTCCTGAGCACTTTGAGTCATCCCAAAGTCAAATGGACTACCAGATAGGTAGTGAGTTCCCTGTTCCTCAAAGTGTCAGGTCAGTATGGCTACTAAGTAGGGGCATCATAGAAGGCTTGTTGATAATGTTCAGGGTTCACCTTGCTATGTGAGATCTCCTTTAGTTCTCAGAGTCAGTAAATCATTGTAGTGAGTTAAATGACTGGCATCTGGAGAGACCAGAGAAGGCTTGCTGGCCATTCCACACTCCTCAAAGGTTAATCAGGATAATGATGATAATAGTTGGCTCAGAGATTTACAGGGTGCTTTCTACCATCTCCTTTAAGCCTCACAGCCACCCCATGGGGTAGGAGCTATTATTAGCTCCACTTTACAGATGAGAAAACTGAGATCCAGTGATGTGCCAGGTCTTCTGTCTATCAAATGAGATAATATTTGTAAAACCCTTAGCACAACGCCTGGAACATAATAGGCACTTAATAAATGTTTGTTTCCTTCTCCTTTCCCCTTCCCCCCAGAATTCCATTCAATTCATTATACTGTCTCCTAAGAATAATAAATATTCTCTGCCCTATCCTTGATAAATGGATATCTGGCCTTTATTTGCAGCCCCCCAGTGAGCCCCCGTGGGCTTTGTACTGTGCACGGTGGATGGGGGGGCAGGCAGAGCACATCCTCAAGGTGGGCTTTCCTGGGACCTGGGTTTGGCCAGTGGAAATGGGCTATGATGGGTAAGGGGATAGAGTAAGACTTGAAGAACTACAGTGGAAGGAATTATCATGTGGTCAGAGTATTTCTCTGGGCTCCCTCTGGAGAGTTGAGGAGGATGCCAGGGCTAAAGAGGAAGAGTTGGATACAGCCCAGTGCCACAGACTCAGAGCCCAGGACCTAGTTCTTAAAATATGGAACTCAGACCCAGGGCCTAGATCTCAAAACAAGAATCCAAACCAAGCCTAGAGCCCAGAACTTGAAGACCTGAGTCCAGTCCACAATCCAAATCCCAGACTTAGATAAAAAAGTAGTTATTAAATACCTACTGTTTGTCAGGCACAATCCTGGGTAATGGGGACATAAATGCAAAGAATGAAATAATCCCTGCCCTGACTTTCTAATGGGGGACACAATGAGCCCACATGAAACAATATACAGCATAAATACAAAGACAATAAATACGGATAAATACAGGACAGTTTGGGAAGGAGGCCACTAGCAGTTGGTGGGGAGCAGGGGAGAATCAAGAAAGAGTTCATGTATGGGATGACGCTCAAAGCTGCATCTTAAGGGAAGTGAGAGACTCTCAAAGGTAGAGGTGAGAAGGGAGGGGTTTCCAGGCATGATGGATGGTCAAGGCAAAGGCCCATTGATGGTAGATAGAATGTCATGTTCAAGGAATAGAAAGAGGGCAGTTTCATGGATCACAGAATTCAGGAAGGAGACTAACATACATTGAGGCTAGAAAGATACGTTAAGGCTAGGTTGTGAAGGGCTCAGATTCAAAAGCATGGAGACCACACTCTAGCCCCAGACCTATCCTTGTCAGCCTCAAGTCTTAAGGTCCTGCCTCAGAGCTCAGGGTCTGAAGCCTAGAACACAAACTCCACAGTCCCGACTCCAGGATCCAGAGCTTTGAGCTGAGATCCCAGACTCTAAGGTCCAGAGTTCAGAGTCCAGAACCTGGGTCCTGCCAGCTGGTTAAGTCATCTGGATTCATGGGTTTGAGTACTACCCTCTGGGACCTCTGCTTTCTATGAGCCAGTAGCCACCCCTGAGCACTTGAGGGACATTTTCTCCTGGGAAATCCCCTAGAATAAGACCAAGGAGGGGAAATCCTAGCCTGTGGTTGGCACCCCGATGTTCCCCACCCCACATAGCACTTGTCAGCTGTGTCTAGGGTGCTAGAGACTCACAGCCACATCCTGTACAGACTAGCCAATGGAAATCTGGGACCACTTGAGGATAGAGCCTCAGCTGACTCTTGACAAAAGACCCTCACTTGTCCCAGCCTCTCCCTCCCCCATCCCCTGGGACAGCTCTGTTGGAATGGCCTTCGTTGCTGCCTCCTGACGTTCCCACCTTGCCCTAGGGTTAGGCCTCACTCAGAGACAATGTTAGGCTTAGAAGGGATTCCCTTTGGTGGGAGTTGAACTAGATGGCTGCTGAGTCCTCTCCAGCTCTCAGATTCTGTGATTTTGGCTCTGCAGCCTTCTGTCTTCCTTTTCCAGATCCTCTTTTCTCTTCCTCTCAAATACCTTTGCCCATACCTCCTTGGTAGCTGAAATAGCATCATCTCTTGAGTTAGAGGCCATGGGTTCAAGCTCAGCTCTACCAAAGCTTCTTCAGGTCAAGGACTGTCTCACTTTTGTCCTCCTATGCCCAGTGCCTAGCACACAGTAGGTGTTTAAAAAGACTGTGGCATAGGAGAAGTCACTTCACATTTCTCAGCCTCAGTAGGCTCCTCCATAAAATCCTTGCTCTCCCTAAATCAGAGGGATGTTGGGAGAATCGAATAAGGTATGACATGGCAAAGTGAATCTACACAGAAATATCTTCCTGCTGATGCTATTTTCTTTGGGACCAAGTTTCCATGGGAGCTTCCCTGGGGCATGTCTTCCTCCCATCCCCTGCTCCCACTGGTTATCAACCTTTCTCCCAGTGTTCTCTGCTTGCTCACCTGGATTACTGGGATCTTCCTAGAAAGTTCTTGAATTTGAGAGGATAAAGCAAAAAATAAAGAGTAGGTGTCCAAGATAAGAAGAACAATGGAATCTTAGGTCTAAGGCTGGAAAGGCCTCCAGAGACCAGTTAGTCCAACCCTGTCATTGCATTGGTGGGCAAATTGAGACCCAGGGATATGAAAAACTGTCCAAGTTCATGGTCATAAGTATCAGAGATGGGAATCACACCCAGGACCAATATTCTTTCCAAAGGAGGGAGATGGCGAGGGAGAACCACATTGCTCATTCGTAAATGACTAGAAGACTGAAGCGTGACCTCAGCCTTCTCCAAGCGTGTGAGTGACTGAGAGCTGGAGGAAGGTGAAATTGATATTGACCTGCTATGGACACTGATGTTAACCAAGAAAGTAAAATGAGATCTGCCAGCCTCCGTGCCCACAATTGCCAATTGTTCCTCAGCAAGAACCCAGGCGTCCTGTGGTTCATCAATTTACCAGTACAGCCCAGACAATGACTTAGATCATGAGTGAAAACCATTTTTCTGGGTTTTGGCCTCAGAGCTGAGCCACTAGATTTCTGCCGCCTTGGTGGGGAGGTTGGAGTAGGACTGAACGGGCAAAGTCTGGTATCCAAACGGTGACTTGGGATCTGATATGACCATGGTTGGTTTCTTTGATAGAGTTGACAAATGCTTTTAGGCAGTCAATTGTGGAAGTATATTAAAACACCCTTTTAAGTTTAACTGAAAACATGAAGTAAAGAAATATTTATCCAGTCTAAAATCCTGCCGAGAACTCCTCGAAGGAAGGAAATTATCAGTACTCAGAAGCTTAATTGCTTCTGAGGAAACACTGTCCTCCACTAAAATCCTTCCCTACCTTCACTTATGTCTAACAACTTAAAAAATGAAAGTGTGTAAAAGTTTGAGAATGAAAGCTAAGATCCCCAGAAGAATGGATTTAGGATGGTAACCAGACTTAGAAAGAAAAATGTCTCATGACTAAGAGCATTGCTGTTGTTAATGTTCAATTGTTTTCAGTTGTGTCTGATTCTTCATGACCTCATTTGGGAGTGATTTGCCATTTCATTCTCCAGCTCATTTTATGGATGAGGAAATGGAGGAAAACAGACCAGGGTCACACAACTAGTAGGTGACTTTAGACCCACTGTTCTATCTACTGTGCCACTTAGTTAACCCCTACTGATGAAATATATGATTAATTTTTACCTTGCCCTGAATTATATAACTACCATATTTTATGGTATTATAATTTTTTTCTTCTTCAATATTCCTATAAACCTTGCTCAAAGTGTCCTCTCTTAGGAAGAGAGATGTCTGAAGATATGAAGGGATTATGGCAATTTGGGCATTTCTTTAAGTTAGAAATGCTTCAATTTAGAATAGGATAAATGAATAAAAATGTTTCTGGCAGGCTTGTGCCTAAAATGCAGAGTAAAATATTAATGTTTTTCTTTAATAGTTAAGGGATGTCTTTGGACTTGATCCTGATCTCTATACAAGTAATCGTGGTCCAGAAGGGCTCCTGTTTGAAGAACTTCTAGGGTTGGCTCTATAGAGATGGGCGTCTTTTAAATCCCGAGAGCTGGGATTCTTCCCTTTGGTTTTTTTTTTTTTACATGTCATGGCCTGTTATGCTAGTCAGGTGAAGCTGGTGAGCCTCTCCTCAGAATAATGTTTTTAAATGTCTAAGATAAGATACATAGGATTACAAAGGAAGCCAATTATACTGAAATACATTTATTCAAATATTAAAAAAGCAAATAAATGCATGGCCCCCATGCACCCCCAGCTGGGTGCACAGTGGATAGAGCCCATTGCCTGGAGTTAGGAAGATCTGAATGAAATCTGGCCTCACACACTTACTAGCTGTGTGACCCTGGGCAAGTCACATCATCTTTCTCAGCTTTAGTTACATCATCTGCAAAATGCAGCTGATCAGTAAAAGAATATTTCTAAAGCTCTTTGCAAACCTAAAAGTCCTATAGGGATGCGCGCCATAAGTAAGTTGCCTGGTCTGATTAACTTGACTCCTGGTTTTGTTCTGGAAATTTGACTGTTTGAGAGGAAGGCCAAGTCTGCCAGGCACAGTAAGAGGTATTTGTACATAGACCTCTGACCTTTGAAAAGAATAAGCCTTAAGCCAGGCCAGAATAAACCTTTTCTTTAACAGCTGGAAGTAGTCTCCTTAGTCTGGTATTAAGTCCATCTTGGCGTGTATTCCTGAAAGAGAGAATAAAAATTATTCCATAAGCAAGAGAGAACAATTTCCTTGTCACCTTCTTCCCACTGGATAGCAGATCGTGGGGGAAGGGGTTGGAGAGGATGGGAAGTGGGCATTAGGACAGGGGCCTCATTAGTGAGAAGGAGCCTAATTACTTGAAGCTCCTCTGGGGAGTTCCACAACCTGGCTCTCTAGCTAGGCTCTCTGGCTATCTCAACTGGCTACAAGGGATATGTTTGGTATTTTCTTCATGGCTAGTTGGTGGCTTCTTTAGAATATAGATGATTCTGTTCAATGTCTAGAGGTACAAAGGCCTAACCAGAATTAGTGGTTCTTCCAAAGTAAAGAGAAGTGTGGAACCACAAGGTTATAAAGACCTCCGTACTTGTTCAAGAGACACTTCTGGTCATTATGGAAGCATTGACCACTCACTTGGTCAGTGGACCCTTCTATATCAGAGTGGCTGACCTCAAAATCGGTGGAGCTTCAGATTGAGAAATTAAGCCTTCAGGGTTGCCCCTGGGCAGGGAAAAAGGAATAGGGCCAGGTTCTTTGTAAGAGGGATGGAACTGAAATCAGGCTTCTGGTAGTTAGTGAGCTTTGAGGATGAATACTCCACTGAGAACCTGAGGTTGATACTTTTTTAGGGGAGAAAAATTGAGGGAAACCATAGAATGGGGACCAGTGTATGAAAATGTCTGTGTCCCAGGAAAAGCCAGCATTTCTATCTCACACACTGGAGAAATGAACCATGAAAATTTCCAGACAAAATACATTGGTTGAAGTTTTTCCAAAGAAAGATCCTTAAATCCAATTAAGAGAGCATGTAATAGATTTTTTTTGGGTGGGTGACTTGCTAGCAATGGAATGTTTATTTTTATCCTTTCTGTGAGTTTCTGTTCACATCTGTTCAGTAAAAAGGGCTCAGTCTTGAAATGGTTGAAAACTTCTCCCTAGTGACTCCACAAATGGAAAAAGAATAAAAGGGACCTCTGAACTGGGTTTTGCTATTCTCAGCTTCTAGTGGCAGCAGTTCAGGCCCAGCTGGTCCTTAAGAACCCCCTCCCTGAAGATATTGTCCTCCTAGCTTTTCTCTCTAACTTGGAGAAGAGACATTTTAAAATCAGCTTGAGAATAGGAATGACATCTGAAAAAAAGACAACTACAATTCTTTCGAGAAAAGAGACTTCCTTTCAAGAAGGGTTGGATTTGACTGACCCAGCAAGTTGGGCAAGTCTCATTCAATTGGGCAGAATTGAATTGTCTGGAGAATTGGAAGCAAAGTTACCTCAAAGGGACTGGAATAGCCCATGTCTTCACAGGTTGTCAAGGAAGAAACCAAAGTGGAAATGTTGGATATGGAGAAAAGAGAAAATCTGAAGCTATTATCTCTGATCATTTGTCGATCAAATAATCAACAAGTATTAATTAGGTTCTTACCACGTGCCAGAGGCTACATTCCTGATGGAGATACAAATATGAAGAATGAGACCATTCCCACTTGCAAAGAACTTACATTTCAATGGGGGAGACAGCAAATATATATAAAAATGTATAGCCTAAATAGGAAGTTAACAAACACACATGAACATGTAGTTAAAAACCAGGTAGTTTGGGAGGGAGGGCATGAGCCATTGAGGGCATCAGGAAAAGCTTCATGCAGAAGATGGTGCTTGAGCTGGGTCTTAGAGGAACAGAAGGGCTTTATGACACAGGAAAAGAGGGAGAGCATTTCAGCATGGGGAAGGCTAAAAATGGCAGGTGGAGGGGCATCAGTGAAGGCCATTTTGGCAGGATTTCAGACTACAGGAGGTTGAGTAATTTCCAATGAGGTTGGAGAGATAGATTGGGGCAGGTTGTATACAGCTTTTAAAGCTAACCAGAGGAGTTTATGTTTTATAGTAGCCATTATAATGGAATCAATCAAGTAAGGGAGCCACATAGTCATGTCTGCCTTTAAGGAAAACAACTGTGGTTATCAGTGTGTAGAATGGACTGGAGTGGTGAGGGGCTTCAAGTAGGGACATAAATTAGAAGACTGTTGCACTAATCTAGGCAAGAGATGATAAAACTGTAAGCTGTATGAGGGCAGGGACTGTCTTTTGCCTCATTTTGTATCCCTAGCACTTAGCATAGTGCTTGGTACTAGTAGGCACTTAACAAATGTTTATTGATTGATTGGTTGATAAGGGCTTGAACTGAAGTAGATGGTGTCTGAATGTAGCCAACAGGTTGGGTGTGAGTGATGTTGTGAAGCTAGGAATGGCAAGATTTGACAGCTGAGAGAAATGATGGTTAATAACCAGTGATTTGGGGAGATTCAGATTTTCCCCTTTCCCTTTTATCCTCACTTCAAGACCTCAGTCTCTGAAGGCTAGTTAACCTTCTTTTCTATCCAAACTCCACCCAGGTGGGGAAGCCATTGTGCTCTGCTCAGGTTTCAGTGGGGATCAATTCTTTGAAAAGATTGCCCAAGGCTGGGGGTAACTTAGAAGCAAGAAAATCAATAACATTCATAATGGTTTTTGTTCTAAGAGAGAGATGGCCAAATGACCATCCCTTTATTAAAATGCTGGCATTATTAAAGAAATTGTGTCTCTTGAATCTTTTTAAATGCGACACGGCTGATTGGATACTTGGGATGAGGACAGTGAGGAGCTGAGGATAATGCCAAGATTACTCACCTGAGACACTGGAATAATGGTGGTGCTTTTTTTTTTCAGCCAAAGACAAGGTTTATTAAAAATCTGCCATATTAGCCTGACTCTTAAGTAATCTGAGCATTTGTGAGCTATTGGCTAAGTTCTTAAGGAATCTGAGCACTTTAATGAAGACAAGACAGACCTTACATACAGAAGGTCTGTGGGAGGGATCTAGGAGTGGCCAAGTAGTTTGGGGTGACTGGAGGAGGAGTCTAAGGAGGATATGGATGGGAGTGGTCAGTAAGCAGGGGTGAACAGAAGACCAGGGACCTGGACCACTTGGACAAGAGAGAATGGAGTCTAGATAGGATTAAGGGTGGGAAGTGGCCAGGGGCAATTGGGAGGTAACAGAACAGAATTGGGAGATTGAGTGTAGCCACAGTGAAAGGCCAGTTGATAGGATTATAGCCTCTGGTGAAATCCAGAGATTTGACCAGGTGGGAAAGTCCAAAGTTTTTCCTTTTTGGGGTCCAGATCCCAAAGACATGGTCTTTTCCTTTCCAGGGTTCAGATCCCATCCTCATTATTCCCCCCTTGAACAAATGGGACCCAAATTCTTTTGAGGTAAGGGACGAAGGTCTTGGCTTCTGAAACTGCTTCTGCTGGCAAGAGGCATAGAGCTGTCCCTGCCTTGAGGGGGTTCCAAAGAGGTTGACTGGAACCGAGCACAGGCTGCATCCAGGAGTGGATGGGGGGGAAGTTGACTGGTATCCGCTATATGCTACCAACTGTAGGTGAATGGCCTGTAGTCTGGAAGACACAAATCTGACAGAAAAAACTGCAGGGCCCAGATATGGTGAGAAGTAAAAGTGTAAGAGCCCCATTAAAATCATTTACATTTGACCTGAGGAATTATCTGATCTTGTTATTTTTTCTAAAGTTTAAGTAACACTTTTGCAGATAGAAGTTTTCCACCCCTGGATTCAATAGTTACACAAATGAATTTGCCACAGGCCTTTGCTTCAATTATCACTCAAATTCTCCTCCCCAAACCAAACTGAAGGTGTTTCTGATTTAATTTCAGTTGTTTGGGGGGTATCGAATGCCTACACATTCAGGTCAAAACAGGGAGATATCACACACTTGCATTGATCTTTTACTGACCACTTACTTTGATTATAAAAATTTGCTATAAAAGAATAAAGCAGGGACTAGATTTAGGGCCCAAATATGACAGGATAAAACATTCTTAACTCTGTTTGGATTCAGATAATTCAGTTTTCCAACCATGCAGTATCAAATCCACCTCATAGCCAGACTCAGGAATAGCTAGGTAAGTGACATTCATTTTCAAAGGAACATAATGGGGAAACCGAGCCAGGAGGATCCCATTTTAGACTGAGGCTAACATCGCCCTTTCAGTTTTTCTGGAGCTGACTTCCCACAAGTATCACATTCTCTCCGAGCAGCTTGTGGCATTTCTCTCAGATGGTAGATTGTTGATTATCGATGGATTATTATGCTCCATCAGACAACTCAAAATAAAATCCCATGAGCTTTTACCTCAAACAGCAAGTTTCACTAATTACAGTTTAGGATTTACCTTTCAAACTTAAATTTGTCCTGGTGTAAAAAAGCCAATTGTTAGAGATTATTTCTATATAATTGCAAATTCTCAGCAAGACAAAATCCAAACAAACTTTTTGGCTAGTCTACTCATTAAAACAATAACCAACAATAGCCAAATTATTTTAGGGGTAACCAAATTATGCAAAGTGGCTTGACACAACTGATACAAAAAGTTCACCCATTTGAAACTTGAAACAAACCCGTTACCAACCAGGTGACTTCAGTTTTGTTAAATGCATTTCCAAATGACTTTACACAGAGAATCAACATCTCATCATCAACAGCTAAAACTACAACTTTAGATGAGTGTGCTTAGCCAAGTTCAGAGGCCAGCTTCTTTACCTTGAGTAGGATGTGCTGAACCTGGGTGATGCTTCCAGGCATAGGTTGCTCTAGGGCCCAAGGCCATTGCCAGGGGGGCCCATGCTGTAGAGGGCAAATTCAGAGGTGAGGGGAAAGGGTGAAACTCTCTTCTCCTATGAGAGGGATTGACAGATACCCTCTTGATTCAAGGGAAGGGAGTGGGAGAAGGGAGTAACCAGGGTTGTAAGGAGGTGTTTCAAAACTCCTTAATGGTCAGCTAGGTGGCACAGTGGATAGAGCACCAGCCCTGGATTCAGGAGGACCTGAGCTCAAATCTGGCCTCATACACATAACATTTACTAGCTGTGTGACCCTGGGCAAGTCACTTAACCCCATTGCCTAGCCCCCCCCCAAAAAAAACCAAACTCCTTAATGATCAATCACAAAACCTCCAGAATCTGCTAAGATGTTTTCAGTTGTTCTAACTTGCCCCTGTGACCTTCATGGAGGAGAATTCAGGGATGTAGAGGGAAGGGAGTAAGTAAGCCTCAGGGAATCAAAAAGCACTTTCCCAATTCCCTAATGCTAAGAGAATTGTCAGTATTGGGCATATGCTTCCAGATAGGGCATCCATCCTTGCCCTTTATGCTGAGGAAGGTGTACCCAGGTCCATGGCCTCAAAACAAACCAGTGGACTGAGAGCCTGAGGGCATCAGGCTGGGTGTTAGACAGCCTCATAACCATCTGCCCAAAAAGCACTTCCAAGTCTTCCTAGGTGCTTGGAGAGTAACCCCAACTGCAGGCCAAGAAAGAAGAGGGGGAGGCTTACACATCTTCCAATCTTGGCTGGGGAAGAACTTGTGGTTAGGCAGTTTCCCTAAACCAAAAGGTTTAGGAGTTTAGGAATGCTGGGACCCCAAAATCACAACACACAGGTCCTGCCCGAATGAATTTGACCCAAGCCTTTTTTCAGCCAAAGACAAGGTTTATTAAAGATCTGTGCATATTGGCCAGACTCTTAAGGAATCTGAGCATTTGTGAGCTATTGGCTAGTTACTTAAGGAATCTGAGCCAATGGTGGTGCTTTTAACAGAAATAAGGATGAGGAGAAAGGAAGACAGAATGGAAGATGTCAAGGGATTTTGAGATGAGGAAATGTGAGAAGGAGCTCATTTGGAAGCAAAGTTAAGCAATTGATTTGAAATACAGAAGAAAACTGTGGTATTTTGCAAATAGAATTGGTGATCAGGGGGATAAAAGTAGATCTCAGAACAATTTGAACTGTGACTTGGAAGCAGAGGTCAAGAAATTAACAATAGGAAAGAGAAAGTGAAATACTTAACATAAAAAGAAATGCAATTCTGTAGTTTACAGAAATCAGCCTTGGTTAATCAGTACCAGTAACTGAGAAAAAAAGAGAATGAAAAACTGAAGATAGCAGATTCTGACGTTGATGCAGTACAGACTTAAAATTCAATGAAAAGACAATAAAGAATGCATAAAAATGCTTTTCAGGGTAGAAAATTTCAAGATACAATTCTGCACACAAAGACATTAACTCATTCAGAGTCCATATGACTGGCTTCAATTTCTGACCTCCCAACAGATGGAAGATAGATAAATGACTTTTCACTCAAACAGGAACCAATACAAAGTCCTCATTGTTTGCCAGCTGGAGAATCTCTAGCCAAGGCCTACTAAAATAGTAGAAGAAGACTAACTATATTTTCCTCCATCCTATCCTGTCCCCTGTTTATTCTATTCTCTCCTTTGACCCTTGTCCCTCCAAAAGTGTTTGTTTCTGATTACCCCCTTCCTCCATCTGCCCTCCCTTCTATCATCCCTCCTCTCTTATCCCCTTCCCCCTTATTTTCCTGTAGGGTAAGATAGATTTCCATACCCAATTGAGTGTGTATGTTAATATTAAAAATTGTTTTGATGTGCAACTGGGAAATAAGAAATACAGGAAATGGGGTTTAGAAATCTATCCTGCCCTATGGAAAAATAGAAGGGGAAAGGGATAAGAGAAAGGGGGTGATAGAAGGAAGGGCAGATTGGGGGAAAAGATATTCAGAATGCATGCCATGTTGGGATGGAGCAAGGGGAGAAATGGGGAGAAAATTTGGAAGTCAAAATCTTGTGGAAATGAATGTTGAAAACTAAAAAATAAATTAATTTAAAAACTCTTTTATACTTTAAAAAATTGCAGAAGAAAATTTCAGAATGTACACAGAGTGACAATACAGGCGTAAGGAAGTTTTATTTTTTAGACATCATTAAGTTGAAAGAAGAGCAAGATATCAAGCTCTCTTCTCTCTCTCTCTCTCTCTCTCTCTCTGTCTCTCTCTGTCTCTCTCTCTCTGTCTCTCTCTCTCTGTCTCTCTCTCTCTCTCTCTCTCTCTCTCTCTGTCTCTCTCTCTCTCTGTCTCTCTGTCTCTCTGTCTCTCTGTCTCTCTCTCTCTCTCTCTCTCTCTCTCTCTCTCTTTTGTCTTTCTTTCTTTGGTTATAGCAAATGGAGAAAGTTTTAATGCTGTGGATAAGTTCACTTACCTTGGCAATACATTCTCCAGGGCTGTCCACATAGATGGTGAGGTTGATGCACACACTGCCAGAGCTAGCTCAGCATTTGGAAGGCTCTGAAGGGAAGTGTGAGAGAGAACAGTTATTAGGCTGCCTGAATGACTACAGAGTCTTTGTACTGACCTCACTGTTGTATACCTGTGAAATCTGGACAGTCTACCAACACCAAGCCAGGAAAAAGAATCACTTCCATTTGAATTTTCCTAGGAGATCCTGAAGATCACTTGGCAAGGTAAGGTATCAGATACTGTTGTCCTTTCATGAGCTGAACTGCTAAACATTCAGGTTCTACTGCAGAGAGCACAACCCCATGGGCTGGCCATATTGTTTGAATGCCATATACATACATTTGCCTAAAAGACTACTTTATGGAGAATTCACACAAGGCAAGTGCTCACATGGAGGGCAGAAGAAGTGATACAAGGACACTCTCAAGGTCTTTCTGAAGAACAATTAAATCAATCGTGAGACATGGCAGACACTGGCACAAGATCACCCAGCATGGCATGCCTGCATCAAAGAAGGTGCTGTGCTCTGTGATCAAAGCAGAATCACAGTAGCTCAAAAGAAATGTGAGATGATCAAAGTTAGAGACATCTTCACCCCAATTATTCATATGGACTATTTGTGCCTGACTTGTGGTACAGCCTTCTGAGCTCGTATTGGTCTGATGAGCCACAGTTCGACACAGTCATGCTGTACCTTGACCCCAACATAGTGATGTCATTTTGGTCTTTGAGCATGAAGGACAACCAGCTAACTGTAAACCACCAACATTTCCACTGAAAGCCAAGTCTTCATTGCTGAGTTCAAGTGTCCCACTGTAAAGAGACTTTGGGTACTATGGTGTCTGAGGAAAAGGGCAGGGTGACTGCACTAGTGACTTCTCCTCTCCTCAAAATATTCTTTTGAGGTTTTGCTCTCCAGAGCGAAGAGATTGTGTCTTATGCAAAGTAGAACTTACACCTTACTCCCCACACCTTACTGTGACACTGCTTCTCTCTCTCTCTCTTTCTTTCTTTCTTTCTCTCTCTCTCTCTCTCTCTCTCTCTCTCTCTCTCTCTCTCTCTCTCTCTCTCTCTCACACACACACACACACACACACACACACACACGCACACACACACTCCATCTCTTGCCTCTGGATATTTCCTCTGGGACGCCTGGGATGCTTTTCATCCTCACCAACACCTATTGAATTCCCTGGCTTCCCTCAAGTCCCAAACAAAATCCCACCTTCTACAGAAAGCTTTTCCCAGTCCCTCTTAATTCCAGTGCCCTTTGTGTTTTCATTATTTCCTATTCATGCTGTATATAGTTTGTTTGCACACATTTGTTTGCTTGTTTATCTCCTCCATTAGATCATGATTGCCTCGAGGGCAGGGACTCTTTTTAAAAAAAAGTTTTCTGGCTTCTGGGATCCAAGAGAACAGAGTAAAAAGGTAGTTGCTCTCACCCTCCCCTATCAACCTCTGAAAGCCCAGAAAATAACACCCCAGGGAAAACCCTGGAACAGCTGAACCAGAGGAAAGATGGGGAGCAGCAGTGCAGTAGCCCAGGTAGCTTGAGGGATTAATGGAAAGGCCCCTCTTGCCCTGGGGTGAAGGGGAGCAGTACAGAATGGGAGGCATCACAGCCAGCTAGCAGAAAGTCCCACTTTAGCACACCAGCTAGAGATCCTGGTGTCTCAGCATTCTACAACAAACAGGTCTCCCAGTGCCTCAGCAAAAACAAGGGAAGCAGCACTACAAAGGGCCCCAGATGGATAAATGCCTTGCAACATTTATCTGAAAGGAGCTGAAGAAAGCAACCTAGAGCTGCCCAAAAGTTCCAGCCTTGCTGATTCCAGCCCAACACCAGGTAAGCTGCCAGAACTCTACAGCCTCCAACTGCCAACCAGGAGGAGATCCTCAAACTCAGCAAACAAGCACCAACACCTGGACCTCCGAGTGCCTCAGTGAGTACAGGGGAACTGGTGGACACCAGCTCAGAAAACCACCAGGTGCCTTGGCATTCTATAGCAAACAGGTCTCCCAGTGATTCAGCAAAAATAAGGGACACAGCGCTACAAAGGGCCCCAGGCTGATAAATACCCTGCAACATCCACCTGAAAGGAGCTGAAGAAAGCCAAAGGAAAGGAAAAGCAGGCAACTTAGAGTTGCCTGAAAGTTCCAGCCTTGCTGATTCCAGCCCGACACCAGGTAAGCTGCCAGAACCCTACAGCCTCCAATTGCCAACATTGGAGGCCCCAGCACACAAAGCCAGTGACCAAGACCTAGGCTCCCAACACAAGAAGCTTGGGTCAGTGCCCTCTGTTCCCCAGCAGGAGAGCTCAATCTCTATAAAGGCCAGGGAATAAAGAAACACCACGAGTAAAAAGAAACATACAATAGATTTATATTATGAGAAGAGTGAAGATCAAGGCAGAAATTCTGAAGAGGACAACATTGTCAACAAACCCACATCTGCAACTCAAAAGGGAATATGAACTGGTCTGAAGCCCAAAAAGCCTTCTTAGAAGAGCTCAAGAAGGATTTTAAAAGTCAAATGAGAGAGGTAGAAGAGTCCTTAAAAAATACAATTGGCCAATTGGAAAAAAAGTACACTGAAGAAAACAAATCCCTTAAAAATACAATTGGCCAATTGAAAGGAAGGTACAAAAACTAACAGAAGAAAACAATTGTTAAAAATTAGAATTGGACAAATGGAAACTAATGACTCTATGAGAGAGCAAGAATCAGTCAAACAGAAACAAAAAATGAAAAAATAGATGAAAATGTAAAATACCTCATTGGTAAAACAACTGACCTGGAAAATTGATCCAGGAGAGACAATTTAAAAATTATTGGACTACCTGAAAATCATGATGAAAAAAAGAGCCTGGACAGTATCTTTCAGGAAATCATAAAGGAAAACTGCCCTGAAGTCCTAGAACCAGAAAGTAAAATAGCCATAGAAAGAATCCACTGATCATCTCCTGAAAGAGATCCCAAATTGAAAATGCCAAGGAATATAGTAGCCAAATTCCAAAATTACCAGGTCAAAGAGAAAATGCTACAAGCAGCCAGAAAGAAACAATTTGAATATCATGGAACCACAGTCAGGATTACACAGGACCTTGCGGCTTCTACATTAAAAGACTGTAAGGCATGGAACATGATATTCCATAAGGCAAAGGAGCTTGGATTACAACCAAGGATCAACTACCCAGTGAAAATGAATGTGATCTTTCAGGGGAGGAGATGGATGTTTTTTTTTTGTTCGTTTGTTTATTTAGGCAATTGGAGTTAAGTGACTTGCCCAAGGTCACACAATTAGTAAGTGTCAAGTGTTTGGTCTGAGGCTGGATTTGAACTCAGGTCCTCCTGACTTCAGGGCCAGTGCTCTATCCACTATGGCACCTAGCTGCCCCTGGGAGAAGATGGATATTCAATGAAATAGGGGACTTCCAAACCTTCCTGATAAGAAGACCATAGCTAAACAGAAAATTTGATCTTCAAGTACAAGACTCAAGAGAGACATAAAAAGGTAAATGGGACAGAAAGATAAAATATGTTGTTAATAAGGGCAAACTGTTTACGTCCCTACAAGAGAAAATGACACTTGCAACTCTTGAGAATTGTATTGTTATTACACCATGTTAAAGGAGTGTACATAAAGGGGGTGGATATAAGTTGACTTTTATGTAAGGATAAAAAAAATCTAATCGAGTGGGTTAAATGGATACAAGTAATTGGATTAGCGTGATCTAAGAAAATGTGCTGAGAAAGGAGAAGGTAGACAAGGGTAAATTACATTACAGGAAAAGACACAAAAACCTATTACAGCAGAGGGAAAGAATGGAGGGGGATGAGCATTATTTGAACCTTACTCTCATCAGATTTGGCTCAAGAAGGGAATAACATAATCAATGAGGTATAGAAATCTAACTTGCCCTATAGGCAGTAGGAGGGAAAAGGGAAAAGAAAAGGGAGGTGGGATAGAAGGGAGGGAAGAAGCATTAAGGGGAAGAAAAGGGAAAGGGTTAATAGAAAGGAGGAGGGACTGAAGGAGGCGGTGGTCAAAAGCAAAACACTAGTGAGGGGGAAAGGAAAAGGAGAAAGAAAAGCATAAATGGGAGGGGGAAAGGATGGAGAAAAAGACACAGATAGTAATCATAACTGTGAATGTGAATGGATGGATGAACTCTCCCATAAAAGGAAGTGGATTGCAGAATGGATTAAAAACCATAATCCTACAATATGTTGTTTACAGGAAACACATTTGAAAAAGAGTGACACATACAGGGTAAAGGTAAAAGGCTGGAGCAGAATATATTATGCTTCAGCTGAAGTAAAAAAAAGCAGGGGTAGCAATCCTGATCTCAGACAAAGCAAAAGCAAAAATAGATCTAATCAAAAGAGATAAGGAAGGAAACTACATCCTGCTAAAAGGCACCATAGACAATGAAGTAATATCATTACTAAATATATGCACCAAATGGTATAGCATCCAAATTCTTAGAGGAGAATTTCAGGGAGTTACAGGAAGAAATAGACAGCAAAACTATACTAGTGGGGGACCTGAACCTCCCCTCTCTGACTAGATAAATCTAACCACAAATAAACAAGAAAGAAGTTAAGGAGGTGAATAGAACATTAGAAAAGTTAGGTATGATAGACCTCTGGAGAAAACTGAATGGGGATAGAAAGGAATATACTTTTTCTCGGTGGTACATACACAAAAATTGACCATGTACTAGGGCATAAAAACCTCACAATCCAATGCAGAAAGGCAGAATATTAAATGCATCCTTTTCAGATCATGATGCAATAAAAATTATATGTAATAAAGGGCCATGGAAAGATAGACTAAAAAATAATTGGAAACTAAATAATCTAATCCTAAAAAATGATTGGGTCAAACAACAAATCATAGAAACAACCAATAATTTCATTCAAGAGAATGACAATAATGAGACAACATACCAAAACTTATGGGATGCAGCAAAAGCAGTTCTTAGGGGAAGTTTTATATCTCTAAATGCTTACATAAATAAAATAGAAAAAGAGGAGATCAATGAATTGGGCATAGAACTAAAAAAACTAGAAAAAGAACAAATTAAAAATCCTCAATAAACATCAAATTAGAAATATTGAAAACCAAAGGAAAAATTAATAAAATTGAAATTAAGAAAACTATTGAACTAATAAATAAAACTAAGAGCTGGTTTTATGAAAAAACCAATAAAATAGATAAACCTTTGGTTAATTTAATTAAAAAAAGAAAGAAGAAAACCAAATTACTAGTATCAAGAATGAAAAGTGTGAAGCTACC